GAGGCCTCTTTGGTGTTCCTGCTTCCAAGCCTCTGAGCCTCTTGGGCCTTGACGCCTGCTTATTGGTGCCCTTAAATCCTGCATTTGTCAACAGACCCCATGTATGCCTATAAAGGGAAGTCCCAGTGGGACCCCCACGTCACCTGAACCCAGCACTGGCTCAGTGATGCAACCCATTCTCTGGAAGCCCCAAGGGTGGCTGGAATTATCAGGTCACCCACTTGGTGGCATTTTGCATGAGAAGCAGCATGTCCACTTTCACTATGGTTCTTCTCCCCCAGTGCAATTTAACTTTTTAAAATAGATGCTAGTTGCTATTTTGGGAGAATTGTGAAAGAATTGGCCTCTTCTCTTTCCCCTTTTTTGGCTGAGTTTCTAACACATGGTAACAATCATGTCCCAGAGACCAGCAGGTAAGAGCCATAGGAAACTTTGATGAAAACCTAAGAAAGAGAAAGAAAAGCTTTCATCTTCTCCCCATGTAGCACAGAACTATTTGACACTAGCACTTCCTAATTCTTTAGCCAGGGAATGTCCATCCCCACCATTTGAGTCCAGGAGGATATGCGTAGATATGATGGGGGGCTGGGTGGGAGGAGGCAGGCACACTTGACCATTTGTGCTATCACCAAAAACTTAAAATTAAAAACAAAGCCAAACAAAGTACTGTGCCCCCTCCTTGTTTCTTGTTGACGGGATGTGACAGAAAATAGTGCTGACCCAGCTGAAATCGGCAGGATTTGAAGTCGACATCAGAGCTCTATGCACCATATTTTTGACTTGCAAATGCCTTCCAAGAATAGCCGGAGCGTCCTTATTAAGCCCGGCTTGCGATGCATCTTTACTTAGCACCGTCTGCTCCCGCACTGTATAATTCATGGCCTTGCCTTATGAAGTTAGGAGGAATCGGAACCATGACCAGCCCATGAACCCAAGCTGACACTTCAATTATTTCCAAAGGAACACAGAGAAAGCTGAAATCTGACCAGCCTTTCCACCCTGTCCTGGAGGATGCCAGGCCGAACTTCCTTCAACCAAGCGCAGGTCCAACCATCCACATCCACTCTGTAGGCATTAGATCTGGCAAAAGGAAACTGTCGTCTTGGTCACAGGTTTATGTTCAGCCATGCCCTGGCATCTCTGGTGACAGTGAGGCAGCTCAGAACACAGGCCTGTGGGCTGTGGTACTAGAGTTCAGTTTCACTGATGTTAGCCAGAAAGGATGAGCTGGATCTTGGCGACAATTGCCATGGTTACCTCATAGGAGCTCTCCCCCCTGCAGAGTCCTAGGCTATGAACTTGCACCTATGACCTCAAGTACACTACAGCCAAGTAGGAATGACGACGGCCCGGCTACAGAGGAGGAGACTGCATCCCAGAGCTGGCCTAAAGCCACACGGCAGTGGAAGGAAGCCCTCGGTTCGCACACAGGCGGTCTGGCTCTAAAGTCCTGGTTGCATGGCGCTCTCCACAGAGGGCAGCCGCAACTGTCATGTAAAGAGAGTGACGGAAATGCTATTTACATTTTTAAATCTCATTTTGAAATTTCTACATGTGTGCATTTTCATAGTATACATGTTGTCGCATCTGAATGTACATAATGCATAAACAAATACACATGCGGATATAGCTGACTATGATCTGATTTGTTTTTCTCGACTCATAGCAGAAACTGAAGCATTTAGAAAGGACTGTTCTTAACTCCTTCCTCACCCTGACCCCTGGCCAGAGCAGCTCCAGGCAGCCCTCTCTCCTTGGGACCCTTTCTGTGGTCCCCATCTGAGACCCACCTGTGCTGGGGCCAGGGTGGGGGATCTGTGGATTCCTTGGGTATCTAATGAGCTCATGTCCCGGACACCCTTGGGAAGGTCAGAAGAGCTTTCTGACTGAGCTCGTAGTCCCCAGCTTCCATCATCATGTACCCAGCTTGGCTGTGGGGTAGGAGCTCTAGTGGGTTCAGAAGATGCTTTCTGAGGGTCAGGCACTGGGGTCCAGGCAGATGTTGAACCCCTAAAGCCGCAGCTCCAGTGAGTCTCCACTGTTGGGATGAAGAGAGGCAAGAAGCCATCTAATTCCCTAATCTCCCTAGAAGTGTGGGCCCCCTGGCCTGGGCAGCTGGCTGTCTCCCTCCCCTGCTCCTTTCCCCTGGGTCCTGGCAGCTGATTGAGATGTGGTTGGCAGGAGCCTGCAGCCAGCCTGCGTCACCAGGGCTGTGCCCTGACCCATCGGTCCCCCGCTGCCCCTGGGCTCCTCTCTGAGGCCTCCTCCCCAGTTCAGTCAGGGGAAGCCAGCATCTGTGCGGAGGTCTGTCCCTCCCCCTGGGGACCTGGAGGCCAAGAAACCCTGCTCAGCTTTCAGGACCAAGGAAGCTGGGGGTGGGCAGGGCATGCAGGATGGAGTTTCCACAGCCGCCACCTAAAGCTCTGTGCTGGGCTCTGGACAACTATCCTAGAAAGTAGTGAAGCAGAGAAGAGGGAGAACAGCATGCAGAGCCTAGGCTAGCACCGAGCCCTGTGAGCCTCAGTTTTCTCATCTATAAAATGAGCGAGACCACGAGTCCCTTGCACAGTGACCCCTAGGACCCATGGCATCTGCTCAGCACTCATAATGGCTGCTCATCAATGCCCCCTTGTTTCCTTCTTGTGCTCCTCTCTCTCAAAGTGAATGCAGCTGGGCTCTGGAGCAAGAGAGGCTGTGTGGCCTGGGGTGGCTCCTGGGGCCAAAGCACTAAGCCTGGCAGCGGTGCAGGCGCAATTGCTGGCCAGATAGGCAGCTGTTTGAGGCCTGATTCCCCCACCTGTACCACAGTAACTAAGAGAGACATCATGTACACACAGGCTCCTTCCTCCCGGGAGACCTGGGATGCGAACTAGGAGCCCGGAGATTGGGGTCCAGGCAGAGTTCTGTGGTCCTGAGCAGGTCCCATTTTGTCTCCATGACTGCATCCTCATCTGTAAAATGGGAACATTCAGTCTCTTGGCAGTGAGCTGCTTAACTGTCGCTGAGTCTCTGCTTCCAGTTCAAAGGCCTGGCTGGCTGTAGCTCCCCACTCCAAGCTTTCCTGTTGACTTTAAAGCACCCAGACTTGGGTTCAAAGCCAGGCCCTCTCTGTTCCTTGTCCTCCCCACCCAACATGCCCTGGGTCAAGTGTGTACAAGTCCAGGAAGGGAAGCAGATGTTCCGGGCTGCATCCTCTTCTCAAGTGGCCATGGAGAGAACCAAGGAGAAGGGCAGGAAATGTAGAGGAAGAAGTTTGCCTTGAAAGGGCACCCGACATAAACTCTCCTCACTGGCTGACGGCAGGCCCTGTCACCTCGTCACCTCGGGAGGCACCTGAGAACACTTCCTGCCAGGGTGTTGGTGGAGACCGGCCCCAACCAGGCAAGCAGAGAATGATTTAGACCAATAGGCAGGCACTGGTGGCAGGTGACAAAGCCTGATGAGCAACCATAGGTGGCCCTGGGCTCCAACATGGAAACCCACCTCTGAGCCACCCACTCTGCTCCCTTGTAGCCCAGGCTTGTCTGTGGCCAGTCCAACAATGTCCTTCCTAGACAGAAAGGGCTCCATGGAACACTGCATGGGGCTTCACGTTGGCAGGGTCCCTAGGTTCCCCTGAGCCAAAGACACTTAGCTTTGAGCTCTTCCTGCTCCCTGGAGAACCCCCCAGAAATGGAGTCTACAGAGTTCCTGCCACACCTCCCTGGGCTCTACAATGGAGCTCAGAGAAAGACTGTGCACCTCCTCCTTCCTTCCTTCCCGCCTTCCTTCCTCCCCTCTCCTCCCCAGACATTAACTGAGCACCCACTGTGTGCCAGCCCTCCCTGAACCCTGAGCATCTCTTGGGGAAGTTGAGGCCTAGGGAGGGCAAGACAGAACGGTCCTAGAGACTGGCCACCAACCCATTTCATAGATGTGGTCACTGAGGACCCAAAACGTGGTGTCCCCAGCCCCTGCCTGTACCCAGTGCTGTGTGGCCCTGCAAGGATGCAGGGTGAGCCTCACTTGGGCCAAGTAGAGTGGCCAGGGCTCCACAGCCAAAGCCAGGGTGTGCCAGCCCCTTTCACACCTCGGAGGGAGGAGACCAGGGCACCTGCTCGTGGACGTGGACCCAGGAGATCACTTCTGTTTCCGAATCCAGCGGCTGGCTTTCCCTGGCCACTCCAGCACTGCCCCATCCTGGGCTTCGGCTACCCAAGGCCACTAATAGTACAATCCCAGGACAGCAGGGCAGAAGAGGGGGTGCAGGACAGAGGGACTCCCCCATATGGTAGCCCAGTGGCACTGACAGGCTGATGGGGAGTGTCCCAGGGCTGAGGCCCAGACAGGTGCAGCGTATGCAGCCATGCCCCCTCCTCATGCGGCCTGGTATTCCAGAAGCTCAGAGAGCGCCTGGGGGTGGGGTACAGAGGAGAAAACAGAAAGTGCCAGTGATTCATTTTCTAAATGTCATGTTATTCCAGGCGCCCGCTTGGCCGCCACCTTCCTCCACGCCCTACTTGCCATCTGGGGGGGGGGGCGGTGCTGGGGAGTGCTGGTGAGTGCCGGCAGGATGGAGGTGATTCCTCCCTGTCCACCAGGAAGCCGCAGGGTGAGTGAGCAGCCAGGAGCACTGTGCTGGGAGCCAAGAGACCTGGCTGTGGAAATGGTTGCTGTGAGGCCCTGAGCAAGTCCCTAACCCTCTCTGTGCTTCCTGCACACATCCTCCTGTGCAGAGGTTCTGGGGAAGTGTTTGCAGCTCCCAAGATGGGTCATCTCTCTGCACAGCCCCAAGACGGAACAGAATTCTCAGGCCACACCCCTAGAGACTCAGGCTCAGTACCTCGGAGACCAGGCTGTGGTCTGAATGTCTACAGTGCCTCCCTGCCCCCTACCCAGCCACTCTGGTAATTCCAGCCAGAGAGGGGTGGTTGGAAAGTCCTGCCTTGCTTTTGTTCAGATTCGGATTCATTTTCAGGACCAATTTGCCTCCTCCAAAAAGCCCTCCCTGATTTACTCACCACCAACAGCCAGCAACAGCCTTCCTCACTTCCAGCCCTGCCTCCTGCAAGAGGACTGAGCCAGCTTGGGTCCTCAGTGGAGACTGGGTTCCCTGGGCATCTCTCAGGGTCCCTGGAGAAAACAGATTCCCCTGTATGGTTCAACCCAAGAGATGAGGATTCAGGGGCCTTTTACAAAGACTGGCAGGGTTAAGGGGACCCAAAAGGGACAGCGGAACCCCCAGAGACCACAGGCAGTGGGCAGCTGTCACCACCTCAAACTGAAGGGGACAGGGAGCTGGAGTCGTGGGGGGGGTCACCCCGTAAAAGTGGCAGCCACCAGGGAGGTAGCTAGAGACACGGTGGCATCGCATAAGGAGAAGTGGGAGGAAGTACTCAGCATCTTCCCCCATGGCCAAGCCCAGGTGGCAGCGGAAAGGATCAGCAGCCCCTCTAGGTCCCCTCCAGGGGGGCACAGGCAGGGCAGAGACAGCAGCCTGCAGGGGGCCTGTGGATAGGCCAGCACCCTGCCCCTCCCCCTCCCCCCTCTGCAGTGTCTGGTGGGACAGACCTGTCACTCAGAAGGCTGGGCTTGAGGGGTGACATCAGGAAGCCACTGCTTAGTTAACTGCAGGGATCCAGGAGCTGTCCTGAGCCACCCTTTCTGGTCCTCACCTGTGATTTTCCTCCTCTGCCTTCTGAAGCAGAAGCTGGGGGCGGGGCGGGGAGCCCTGCTAGCTAGGAAAATGGGCTTGGAGAAGAGGAAAGCTTAGCAAATGGGAAATTAATTCCGGGCAGTGAAGGGCAGAGGCTGTTGTTTGTGATGTATAACTTACTCTCGGTGTCAAACTGTGTACTGTGTATATCAGTGGGATGGCAAGAAAACCGAGATCTATTACTTCGAGTTTAATCTGTTCTCCATGCTGGAGAAGGGAGCAGGCAGGAAAGAAGACTACAACTTTAATCACAGGCCCAACTCGAGATGTCAAGCTGCTCTGGGGGGTGTTAGTAAAATGATGTCGTATTACAGGCTTCCCAGACAGCTAGCTTCCCACACTGTGGCTTCATCTGCCGAGCCGTAAATTAGCACACCTACTTGATGCTCTTCAGGTAAAACCAGTAATTTAGCTGAAAAATACACACACATGCACACAGCACGTGTAGGGGGAGCCGGGGAGAGGGGGCTGCCCCCCTCGAGCAATGAATAGCTAAAGCTAGCAAACCCGGATGGAAATGACACTTCGGCTGCCCCTCCTGTCATTAGTGCGAGGCTCCCGGTGCAGCCCCGCCACCAGGCCACCTTCCTCTCTACCTGCCTTGGTGCCTCCCTCACCCCCTACCCCTCGTCATCGCCATGAACCGTAAATTACATGCTGACACCTTTAATTTGTGCAAAGTATGCCTGGCTGCGCCTGGCACCAGCAGCCGGCTGCTATAATAAGGTCAATCTATATTCATTGTCGCAGCACTTGATGTGCCAGATAACACAGGGAGGCGGTACCGCTGTGGTGGCTTCTCTGGGTGGTGGGGGGGGTTGAGGTGGGGGTGCCTGCTGCTGCTCGACGCGGCCTGGCACCAGTTGGCTCATCACTTATGCATGGCATGAGCGATGTTATGATTTAGCTAATCACCGTCAGTTATTCATCCTATCGCTGCCTGGAGACAGTGGCTGTGCACGCCTGCCTGCCAGAGCCCGAGAGAGACCCCCCCTTCCTCTCCCTTCCCGCTCATCCAATGCTGCCACCGAGCAGCCACCCAGCCAGTCTGACTATCCTTTCTGAGGGTGGCCCAAGAGGTGTGCAGCCCAGGAGTGTGGACACTTAGCTTGGAAGGGAAACTGTTGGGAGATCCCTGTGGGTGGTATCACTAATGCAAAGTCTGCATCCATGGGTCACATGGTACAAGTCAGGCTCTGTAGTCACTGAGTTCTGGGTTCAAATCCCATCTCTGACATTCCCAAGCTGTGAGGGCTGAGTCGGGTCTCTTAACTTCTCTGGGCAGCAGCTTTTCCTCTGTAAAAGAGGAAAACAACTTCATTCCTGGGAGGGAGAAGGTTAAGGACGCAAAGAATAAATGTGCACAGCTCCCAGTGCATGTCTGTGCATTGCAGGCACTCAGACTTCCATTACTGGATCCCAGGGAAGCCATTGCAGATGTTCGATGAATAATGGTCTGCTTTCCATGGGGAATTCAGACCCAGGCTCTTAAGGACGGGGCTGGGCTATCGAGGGAGGCATTCTGAGCCCAAAGGCATGAGGCTATGTTGCTATGGCCCCACTACCCATAGGACAGCCCCCAGGGAAGGGCAGGGGCCTCCAGACTCCCAGGGGCTCATCAAGAGGCCTCTCCATACTACAGGGATGCTTGGTCGGTATATAAAGAGGGTTCTCAGTTTTGTCGGTAGCCCTGTGAGCAGCGACAGGCTAAAGGTCTCAGGCCTTCCACTGAGCCTCAGTTTCCTTGTCTGCACCATGGAGCCCATCACATCTGCTCCTCCGGCCTGGTGAGGAGGCTGAGACCAACTCTGGAAAGCACAGAGCACCCAGTGGGTGGCTGAGCCAACAGCAACCTGAGAGGACACCCCAACCCAGCTGCACAAAAGCCCGCACTTGGAGGAGCTAATTCTCTACCTTAGAAACAGACCGGGCAGAGTCCTTGCTGCCCCAGCAACCTGCCACCTCCTTCCACTGCCACGTCTTGTCCACCATGCCCATCCCCGGGAATGTCCTTCCTGCTCTCTCAGCCGCCCAGACCCCGTCACCCAGATCCAGAGACTGATCACCTCCAGCCCTCCAGGACAGTGACACCTTCCTCATCCACGGCACCCACCACTTTCCCGGCTCAGCCTCTCCAGGGTGACTTGGCCCCAGGGGAGAAGCCCTGGGCAGTGGGCTCAGCAGCCCTCCACCTGCTCATCTGTGAAGTAGATGGGCCCGGCTACCATGGGGTCTTCTCGGCCACCAGGGCATCACATTCTGGAGAAGATTCCAGGCCAGTTGAGGTACTGAGGGGACTGCAAGGGCCAGGCCGGTGGCTATCTCCATGGAAACTGGTGCTAGCGGGCTGGATTGTCCCCATCTCACTAGCATAGGGAGTCAGAGATGAAAAGAATTTAATTTAAAGGAGTGCTAATGTCCTTGCCCACCTGGGCTTGTGCCCTGAGCTTTCTCCCTCTGCATGAAAGTGAGGTCTCCTGCGTGGCTCTGCCCAGCCCTCGGCACTCCTGCTGCACAGGTCAGCCCAGGGCCACTGACAGGTACCACAATGACCCACACACCTGTGCCCCAAGTACCTGCCAAGTGCTCAAGTGCACAGCTCCCAGGGCCCAATCGCCCTGGAAATGCACTTCCTCTTTCCTTCGAAACTGGCACATCATGGAGGGCTGGGCCAGCAGCCTCCCCCACCAACTGATGGGTCCACCCCACTGGACGCTACAGGCCTGAGAACCCTGGGCTTACCGGGACAGCTCCTCTCTGACCAGGCCTAGGGCTGGGTCCTGTCCCCTCCCATGGCACCTTCACCCCATCCCAGCACTGGGCATGCAGGTCCCGTGGTGTCATGCCTTTGGCAGCTTTCTGAACTCTTGCTCTAACCAACACCTGGGTTCCCCTGCCCCACCCATGCCCCCTGAGGAGAAGGGGTGTCCCTCCAGCTCCCCACTGCCCTCCCCCAGCCTCATCCTCCCTCCCCTTCCAAAGTACCTACTGCTCCGAGTTCCATGGCATAGACGCTGTCGCTGCTGACCTCCTGCTTCCTGCCATCCTTCCCAATGACCAGCAATGCCTCTGCCTCATCAGGCTGTCCAGCCGCTGCCCAGGAGTCATTTCATCCACCTTTCACTTTCCTTTCTCTCTTGCCCTTCCTCGTACTTGGAAGTCATGCCCAACCCTGGTTAAATCCAACGACCAACAAATGCACTCACGTAGCGAAATAGAGCTGGAAAAAAAGTGAGCTGGCTGCCCAACATCACTGCCTCACACCTCAACAGCACTCTGCACTCGCCAACTAACCGCTGTGTCCTTTCTCCTGACCACTCCCCTCGCCACGCCAGCCTCCGTGCTCAGGCTTCTTGCAGCTCTCAGTATCATTCAGAGACCGCCTTTGCACGAGGCCCGACAGCACCTCTGCCCACACCCAGCTTCTGCTCCTATGGGCCAGCGTCAAGGCTCTGCCCACAGCCACTTTCTCCCCAAGCGTCCCCTCCCCTCTCCAGCTCCATCACATCCTTGCTCGCCTGTTCCAAGAACTGGTAGAGTGGCTCCCACCTGCCCTGTCTCTGGTGGCCCTCTGTCCCCATGAATTTCACCCATTTGTGATGGGTAAAACAGGGCCTCACCTCTTGGCCTTTCTTGGCAGTGGGCAGTGGTAACACAGGCCCTCTGCCTTCTTCCGGTGTTGTTTGCCACACACCACCTGCATCTCTCTGTCGCTGGGCTCTCTCTCTCTCTCTCTCTCTCTCTCTCCTCCTTTGCAGCTGTTTTGCCAACTCTGCCTCCACTCCCCAGCCTCTCTGGGCAGGATTGTGTCCAGGCTCAGCCCTGAGCCCTTCACTTCTCATCTCCCAGTTGTCCAACCACCAGTGCGTCCCATCCAATCGCATCCAATGCCAGCCCTGCCACTGACCGCTGCCTCTGTCTCCAGTCCTATCCTCTCCTCGAAGCCCTGGCTCAGGTGCTCAGCTGCATGCTTGACGTCCACAGAGAATAGGTGGGAGACTTCTCAAAATTAATACGGCGGAAACCAAACTCATGTTTTCCTGCATATCTGCTTCTCTCTGCACCCCCAGTCTTTGCACCTCTGATGCTGCCATTACCACCCCCACTCAGGTGCCTAAGCAGGGTGTCCCAGAGTGGGCCCTGTGTCCTCTCCATGCCCAGGTGACACCTTCTGTCCTAGTCCACATCTCAGTACATCCACGTTCTGCCATCTCCCCTGAGCCACCTCACATCTTTGCAAAGCTGTCCTGACATGAATGAGGTTCCTGCCAGTGGCCACCCCAGCCACCACCCCTGCCCTCCCAACATGCTGTCCCCAGGGCAGCGGCAGTGGTAGATTTCCACAAGGAAACACCAACAGTGTTGCTCCCGAGGCAAACCTCCCAGTGGCTCCACTGCATCTAAAATAGAATGCAAACTCCTCCTACCACTCCCAGGACCCAGGATCCTCCCCTCTTGACTTTCTGTCCCCTGCTCATAGGACAGCCACTGCAGTGTCCTCCCAGCATGCCAGGCAGGAAGAAGGGGAAGGACAAATAGCAAAAGGGATGCACCCACCAGCTCAGCCCATCATCACAAAACTGAGGACCTTCTTGGTTATGGGTCATTGACCAGATGTGCCACATGGAACCCACGGCTTTAGGAAACCTGGAAAACAGAATGTGTTTTAAGACGGGGCTGTAGCTGCCCCCAGGAGAAGTAGGTGATAGGGTAGGAGAGAGATGTAGATGGAAGAGCCAGCCTGACAGTGCTGCCCAGATAGACCAGAAGCTTTCGAGGTAAGGATCAGACCTGGGAATCCTGTGCTCAGGAAAGAGCTACAAGCTCTTCCTGGCCGGACCCAGCATTCGAGAGGCAGATGAGTTGGACACATTTGGTGCCCTGGCAAGGCTCACTGAGGGGTCTCTGGCCAGCTGTGACACGCCAGGCCCTGCACAGATGCATGCAGAAGTTGGAGAGACAGAGGCGGGTCTAGGATTCTCTCAGGAGAGCAAACAACTCCGCAGGGACCAGCAGGCAGGTAAGCAGGAGAGAGGGCAGTATAGTGAGGAATGCGTGGCTGTGGCTTGGACACAGGCACATGCATCTTACCCAGGGACAGATAATCCTTGGAGCAGGGCTGGAGCCTAGGAGGAGAGGGGAGGCAGGGAGGGAGCTAGTTATGGTTTAGATCTAGAATGTTCAGAAGTGGGGTCCTTCCTGAAAGGTAATTGGACAGATGGTGGGGGTGTTACACTCACCAGTGGATTAATCCACTGATGAACCCATAACTGAATGTGCTATTAGGAGGTGGGGCCTGGTTGGAAGAGAAGGGTCATCAAGGGCGTGACTAGAATCCTGTGTTTCTCTCCCTGCTCCTTCCTCCTCTCTCTGCTTTCTGGCTCCCATGATGTGAGCAGCTTTTCCTCCACCAAGCCTTTAAATGCTGCCAATTACGGACTGTCCTGGGCATACAGTATGGTTCAATATTCAGCAGGAATATCTGCTTCTTATCTTAATAGGAGCATCTACCCAGTGAAGCTGAGAAAATGGAAAATTAAAGACCACATACAGCCACATGCCTAAAAGAATTGAAGGTGTGGATTCAAACAGGTATTTGTACACCCAGGTTCATAGCAGGATTATTCACAATAGCGGGGGGGGGGGGGAGCAACCCAAGTGTTCACCGATGGACAAATTACATAAACACAATCTGGTTATACATGCAGTGGAATATTATTCAGCCTTTAAAAGTGAGGCAATTCTGATATATGCTATGCAGTGGTATGGATGAACCGTAAGGGGATTATGCGAAGTGACACAAGCCAGTCACAAAAGTTCAGGTGCCATAGGATGGTGATGGCCTGCAGCTGAGGGGACAGGGAAATGGGCAATTGTTTAATGAGTATGAGCTTCAGTTTTATAAGAAGAGAGTCCTGGAGATGGATGGTAGTGATGGCTGCACAATAAGATAAATGGATTTAACGTCACCAAACTGTGCACTTAAAAATTGTGCAAATGGTTAAGTTCAATGTTATATATAAATTTTATATAAGTTTCATATGTAGCATTTAAAAATAGCCATGTGCAAAAAGAAGGAAGAATATATATTATAAGAGATTACACTGTGGGCCGATATCGTCACTAGGGCTGAACATTTCATTATGCTTGCACTTTCTGGTAAACAAGGTATGAAGAGGAATTTTTGATTCCTGGTGTTTAATAAAGGGAAAAGTACTACCATGCCCAGAGATCTCATTGGCCCCTGCACCCCTGGCCAGGACTGAATCCTAAGGGACATTTGCCTTGGTGACTGTCCTACAAAGGGCCCCACAAGACACCAAAAGCCGTGACACAAACCCATTCCACAGCTACGCGTGGTAAGGGAAGGCAAGAGGATGTGGGTCACTGAACGAGGCTCTTCTGGTGGGAGTACACCAATCAGCACTAGATATGAAGATTTCCGGCTGGAAGCTGGATTCCCAAAGAAACATGGGCTTCACTGAACAGTGCCTGGAGGTGCCCAGCAGGCAGCCTGAGATCTGCTCTGCTCCTGAGATCTGTGTGGAGGCAGAGCACGGTGCCACTGTGCAGAGCCGGTGACTTAAACCCACGATCAGCCAGGACAGCTGAATCCTAAACTCCCTGCCCCAGGTCTGTGCTGCCCTGGAGGGGTAGGCGTGGCTGTGAATGTTTTCCTGTGCCCTGGCTCCCTGCCTGGGGGACTGGCTGCTGGCCTGGGGCACTTCTCTGTTCAGGAGAAAGAGTGCAGCTCCAGACATCAGAAGACCTGGACAAGAATCTCATGGTCGCCACAAGACTCTAGCCTTGTGATCTGGGACAAGTTCCCCAGGCTCTGCACCCCAGGCTCTTGGTCTGTAAATGGTAACAGATGTACAGCCGTGGCTTTCCTGACCCCTCAGAGTGTTGCTGGGAGCAGAGGGCGCAGCCTGGGGTCTCAGGCCCATCTACCTCACCATTTCCAATCCACTGCAGTCCAGTGGAACACGGGCTTGTGTGCAAGCCTCCAGCCTCTTCTCACTTACTTACTGCCTCAGGCCCAGCTGCCTGGCTCTTCAGAACCTGACTGGAGCTGGGAGATGGAGACAATGGAACGCAGTGTGTGGAAAGGTCCGGGGAGAGCAAGAGCGAGAGAGAAACTTGATGATCATGTGCCCAGGGGCAAAAATGGGGACTATCCACAGGAGTCTTTCAAAGGAAGGCTTGAAACTGGAATATGGAGGACTTTAAAGGTGACCTCATTATGAAGCATGAAGAAAGGGCAGGGAGATGCCAGGGATCAGGGTTTCTATCCACGTCCATGCCCACTTGCCCCAGCCTGGCTGGATCCGGCGCCGGCAAGCCGGGTATGCAGGGAGCAGTCCCTCCCCTATGGAGGGATGACTTGCAGCCGGACCCTTGTAGCTACACCATCTCTTCAAACTGCAGCCCAGATGGCCGTGCTCAGCAATCATGTGTTTAAAAAGCAATAAGACTAAATGCTTTTCCACTTCCCCTTTGAGAGGCCATGTATGATAAATGATAGGCAATTTCATGGTTGGAGTTTCAATTTCCGAAAATATTAGTGCAAATCCCCCAGCTCCACTTCTGAGATAAATTCTTTTTGGCAGACTCCTCCCTTGTCTCCTAATTCCCCGATTCTGAATATATGTGGAGGTCTGGTGCAAGATTCCTCAGCTCAGCCCCAGCTTCCACCTGTCTGATCTGCTTGGGAAGGATGCTACCTACACCCCACTCTTTCAGATTCTTCTTACATTGGTTTCAAGCCAGCTGCTATGTACCTAGCCTGGCACTAAGTACTATCGTGGTGGGTACAAGTGAGCTACAATCAATCATTCAATCAATAAGCATTTACTACGTATCTAATCGCTTCAGTCTCAAAACAACCACAGTTGTAGAGTGCCTCGCTAATACTGAATGTTTGTTTCACACTACCCCCACTTCACAGTCAGGAAACTGAGGCTCAGAGCTGACATGGTAAGATCAGGGTGGTCTAGAGTGGACAGGGAGGGTGAACTTCGCCTGAGCACACATACTGGTGAGGGGCTGGACTGAACGCTCGTCTGGCCCTCTGCCCCAGATTCTAAGCTATTCTCACAAAACTCATTAGGTGTCAGTATCCCATTTTACAGATGTGGAAACTGAGGCTCAGGAAGGCCAAGGAGCTTGTGCCAGGATTCTCTTTCCACTGGGCCATGTGGTCTCTCCTGTCATCTGATGTCAGGCAGGCTGGGTGGGAGCTTGACAGTCATTTCCAAACCATGGGGGCCCCTGCTCTGGAGACACCAGAGCACCAGACAGCAGCAAACCAGACAGCAGTGACCGAGCTCCTGCCATCTCTCGTCTCCCTTTACTCTGCACCCTCACATCTCCAGGCTGAGGCTGCAGGGACCCCCAACACTCAGGCCTGTCCTGCTTCTCCCATACACTGCCCTCCCTTTCTAACCAAACTCCACCTCAGGGCAGCCAAGACCCCAGCAGCAATCGCCCCTGCCTGCCCTTCTCTCCCTCTCCAGAGGGCTCCTCTCCAGCCCAGGATGGCATTTCCTTCTCTTACAATCTCGTGAGTTCCAGCCAAAGACCGCCAAAGACCGCCAAATTCCAGGATCTGTGGCCCCATTTTTGGCCGCCAGTGAGGTTCCCGGAGCTACATCACAGCATGGCAGAGACAGAGAGGGAGGCATCGGCATGGGAGGGGTCACCTGGGCCAGAGGCCTCGCTTTGTGACAGCCCACTCTCGTGAGAACTGATTTGCCCGCGAGACCAGTATTGGTCCCTTCCCAAGGCAGGGGCCAGGCCTGATTCCTGACTCCGATGACACCTGCCCCACCGCGATGAGGACCGGGCTTCCAGCAGGGGGGGCCCTGGGGACAAGCACACCTGGTCTCGGAGTAGGGGCCACACAGTCCTGCGGGAGTCGCTGGGGGTGTGGGGAAACCAAGCAGAAGGAGACGAATCCCTCCGAAGAGAGGAAGTCGAGTCATCCGGACAGAATGTAAGGGGAGAGAAATAAGGGCATAAAAGTGCAGATAGAAAACCCAGAACAGAATGGAGCTGAATAGAAAAGACCAGAAGAGCACGGAACACACTAAACAGGGTGGGACAGAAGAGAAAAGGATGGAGCAGAATAGTCCAGGTCAGAACACACGGGGACAGAATAGACTAGGACTCAAAACCGAACAAGGGGAGCAGACTCAAAATGAGTCTGAACTGAGCAGAGCACAGTAGAATAACAGGGCTGTAGCAGATGTCAGCGCATGGAATGAAATAAAATCCACTCCATTCATCAACAAACATCAAATAAGGACAAATGAGATGCAGTCCCTGCCCTCATGGAACATACTGTCTTGTGAAAGAGACATACAAGGTAAACATTAAGACGTGTACAGTTACAAACTATAAGCTTCTGGGAAGTAACATGAAAGAAGGAGCAGTTTGCCATGGTCAAGAATAATGGGATGGAAGGAACAATAATAATAAAGAAATCAAGAAGGCTGAGACCTTATTCTTTGTATCAAGAAGCCAGAGACCCCCACAGACCCAGGGAGCAGCATGTTGGTCAGAGGGAACAGCATGCACAGAAGCCCTGAGGCAGGAATACGTTTGTCCTATTCAAAGGACTGAGAAATTCAGTGGGAACAAAGCCCAGTGCGACAAGTAATGAAGGGAAAGGCAGGAGGATGCCAGGTGTCCAGGCCTGCGGGGCTTGCATTCTTTGCAGATGTGGAGAGAAGTGCTAAGGAGAGCAGCAGTGGATCAGAATGTATGGGCGGGGAGGCCATTAGGGCACCTGCCAGGGTTGTCCCCTCGGAAGTGACAGTGATGGCTTGGAGCAGAGCAGCAGTAGCACCAGAGAGGAGCAATGTCAACACAATGG